CCCCAAAACCCCAAAACCCCAAAACCCCGCTCCTTAAATTTTGAGCTGAATTCTATAATTATTCTTAACAAATAAAATAATACATGACCACTGATAATACTCACATTAGAAGAATTATGATCAGGAAGAACAGGAACCCTTCTGTTGAGATCCAGAGTAAGTTCCAGAGTCTCTGATAAATTTGTTACATTTCTGGGAGAATTCCTAAGTTTTAGTGCATTTTATCTTACATTACAGTCTTTTAATAGTACCTTTATGTTATGCAATAATTGACCTACCAACAAGTTTCGGTGGAGGAGTTCTAAAATTTTACTATAGGAAAAATTTCACTATCATCATCTCCGATGAACCAAAGCGAATATATGAAGTCATCTATTTGTACAGACAAGAGCGATTGCGCACCTTCTTTGATCCGTTCTTGTAAAGTAAGAAGAAAGAGAGTGCTCAAATTTGACCCTAAATTTGAAGAATTCCTCTCCCATAACCACAAGAGTTGTCTGAAGGATCTCAATTGCAGCATCAATACTTACGAGGGAGTCTCTGATTGCTTCGATGACAAAATGAAGAGTAAGTTGTCTCTTTTAACCCACAATATTACAAGATTAGTCATTTTGCTCTTGATTAAATTTCATTCTCAACCCCTAATGTTCTTTTGTTTCTTTAAAAATTCACATTATAAATATTGGTCTTTTCTGAAGAAATCGTTCGGTATCCCACCTCAGTAAGTATAAGAGGTACCTGGGTTTTGAGTTAGCTTGAGCTATCAGTACACATACCTTGTGCTGTCATTGCCTTAAAAGAATCTAGTTTATTACCCTAGATGAATTAAACATTATTTTTATATCAGAGTTTTAACCGTCAGTAATTCGTCGGGTTTATAAAGAATTTGAATCCTCATTTGCTCCGATTTACTAGCCCTTCAATTGACTGTTAAGAGTCTTATTATCTGATCAATGTCAATTTTTGAGATTTTGATCAGGACACTAGCTTAGACAATAAAACTAGTTTAGATCAAGCCCAGGTAATATTCAGCAAAGGGTAGTACTTCATAATCCTCGGCTCTGGAGGCTCTAATGAAAATTGTATAACTTATATCAGAATGTTACCGTAATTATCTTTTCTCCAAGTGACGCATTTGGAACGTTCACATGTTGATGCTATAAAAGCCTTGAGCCAAAGAGTGGTTGATTCACCAACTTTCCAATCCGTTTAGAATATAAGCAAAGCATTGTATGTCAGAAATATGATATGGTCTAAAAATCCTTCTCTGTTGACACGTCAGATTAATGATATAATTACTAACAGATGTTTTATAGAAAAATTAAGAGCCAGAGTCCATAAAAGTTGTTCCAGAGAGAGACCAAATAGAAGAAGGCCTAAGGTAAGAACAAGACGCTTAAATTATGATTGGTTTACTTCTTCTCATATTTATATTTATCTTCTATAGATTACCATCAGCAACGAGATACTGATAGTTCAAGAGAATTTTGAACTCCCTGACATTAAAAAAGCTAGTGAAGGTAAATATTTAAACTGATAATTCTGATTATTTCCCTTGTTGACAATTGGCTAATATTGCATAGGTCTCCAAACTTTAGAGTACAAGAGAAATATCTCTAAGAACTCAAAGAAGAAGATTGGCAGCGAAAAGCCTGGAGAGTCTCGGAACAAAACACTAAAGCAAAAGATAAGGTCCAGATTAAGCTTGCTTAATCGGGAGTTTAGAAGCCAAACTTTGTGTACACTTCCAAGAATCTCTAACTAAACAGGCTCATCGCTGAATCCTTCACTAATTTTTCCTATACCATAAAATTTCATAAACCCATCAAAAACCCAGTTTCTCCAAATTTGTTTCAAAAACCCTCCTATTTTCACCTGGTTTCAACCTGGTTTAATCAATTTGGGGTTTTGGGGTTTTGGGGTTTTGGGGTTGGGGTTTTGGGGTTTTGGGGTTTTGGGG